GTGCCGGCAGGTTCCCGCCCGCCGCCCCCATCGCCCGCTTCTTGAGCGGCCTCCAGCGCTGCGCCTGGGCCGCCCCCGCCTCGGCCCCGCCGCTCGCGCTCGCGGCGTGGCTGCTCGTCTTCCTCCGCCGCCGCGGGCGCGCGCTGCGACGTGACGGCCCGGGGCCCCGCAAAGGGGCCGGAGGCACTGGGCCGCTCGATGCGCGGCAGCAGCCGGCGCCTCTTCACACTCCCGTGCCCTTTGCTTGGCTGGGCCTGGCAGACGGGCTCTACCCTGTTGCAAGATTTGAGCCAAATAGGTCATCCACATGCCAGGAGGATGGCTAGGGGATGCTTTGGTGTGTTCACTCTTCCATATGAATACGTGCGCACACAATTTCAGCCGGCCCCGGCGGCTCCGGCGGCGGCGTGGTGCTCGGCTCGAGTCGGGCCGTTGTGTGGTCTCCCCTCTTTTTCTGGCATAAGGGGGCGCCCGCGCCCATGCCCAAACGGCGCCGCGGCCGGGCAGCGAGCCGGCTTGCACGGATGCCTGTCACCAAGCCCCTCGCATAGCGCGGCCTTGCAGCAACCCAAGGGGCCGACGTTGGACGCACCGCAGGTCGACCCGGCTGGCCCGCCGATCGCAACCGAAGAAACCGCAACCAATGCATGGTCCCCCAGTTTTTCCCGCAACACAGACGGTATCTACCGACAGGCCGGCTCAATACTGCTCACCACATTACACATGATCAAGCCGGCCGTATCCGTCCAACGCATGCACACACGCGCCCTGCAACACACGCACCGGACACACGCACGACGCAGTACCCACACACTCTCTCACAGCACCTTGCCTTTCCCGAGACGCACTCGTCACGCTTCGTCGATCGCCTCACAAGTATAAAAAATCGCATGCAACCGCCCAGCCAACGGCCCCCAGGCTGCTGCTCATCTATCACGTCACGCCCACGCCCCGCACCCGCCGCTGACCCGCCTTTGCGCCTTCCGTTCCCCTTCTCATAAGCTGCGTGTGCGGCGGGCGCGCGCGACCAGCCCCAAGGCCGACGCGCGGCATGGGGAATGCTGGGGCCCCGTCGATCCCCGCCTCCTGTGTCGGGGCCCGTGCCGCCTCGCCTCTTGACTGCAACCCCAACCTTTGGCCCCTCCTCTGCGCCCCGCCGCGCCGGGCGCGACGCGGCGCAGGGCCCATGCACGCGCCCTCTTCAGCCGGCAGCTGCCCCGAACCTGCGACGGCCAGCCGCCGAAAGGAATCAGGAATTTCTATATCCCTCAGGTCACGCCTTCTTTCCGTCACCAATCTCGTCACCCCACTTGACACCAAGCGTGCCGCCGCGCGATCGGCGGGCTCGCGCGGCCTCACAGCCGCGCGC